AAGAAGTTAAGCACATTGGGAAGTCCTCAGAGTTGGGTTTACTTTACTCAAACATTATGTCATCACCCTCATTGATTGTGCTCATCCTGCCACAAAGGAAAAGGAATAAAGTGGAAGGAGAGTAGAGAGGAATTAGTTTAACTTCTGAGTGCAGTACCCAGAGCAGAGAAAGTCAAGTCGCACGCTCCCACAAACATTAATAAGTTCCTCATATTACTCAGAAATTACTGGCAAAGTCAATTTGTTCTAGATCTCAACATTCTCACTTCCTGTAGAAAGCTTAGAATGGAGCATATCCATGTTCTTGGGGATGTATAATCCATACCAGGGGATTTGAGACAAAATGAGAACAAATGGTTTTGTCATGCAAATTTTCCAATTTGAATAATCCTACTCCATAATAAATGTAGAAACTAGAGACACCTGGTGTTGGCTGCAGGAGTGGGGAGGTAGAGGCAGAGTATATGCATGCTGTGGATGTATGTGGGTTATTAAAGTGCGTGTGGCGAGTGTGCGTGTGTGTGCTGACACGAGTTTCCTTCCTTTTTCCTTTTTAGTCTTTTTCTCTCCTTCCTTCCACTCGCTTTCTTTCTTTTTCTTTTTGAGACAGAGTCTTACTCTATTGCCCTGGCTAGACTGCCATTAGGCTATCCTGGCTCATAGTAACCTCAAAACTCCTGGCCTCAAGTGATCCTTCTGCCTCAGCCTCCTGAGTATTTGGGACCATAGGTGCCTTCCATAATGCCTGGCTGATTTTTTCAATTTTCAGGAGAGGCAGGGTCACATTCTTGCTGAGGCTGATCTCAAACTGCTGAGCTCAAGGATGTACCTGCCTCAGCTTCCCAGGGTGGTAGGATTATAGGCATGAGCCACTGCTCCTGGCCAGAAGTTTCCTTTTCTATAGAGCACAAAGACAGGGAATATAACTGTTCCCGGTAACATCCTTCTCCGTTGGAGCAAAAGACTCATGAAAGTAAAGAGGTAGATATATAAGAAAATAGACAAAATAAATAATTTCTAAAATTATTGAAAAGTAGGAATTACAGCAGCTATTTTCTTCTCTTTTGAGCTTAAGCAAATTGAGCCAGAGAAAGAAGGATCATTGTGTGGTTCCAGCAGCAGTGAAATAGATTTTATCTCTCTTTAGGATTTCCTATCTTTGGGATCTCCAGGGAGATGGGAAGAAAAATGACAGATAAAAAGCAAAAGAGCAAAGGGAACTTTAAGTTGGGTCCAAGATTCAACCAAGAACAGTGTAGAGAGGGAGAGGCCGGGTGAGTTGTTGTGTGCTCTCTAGACATTTTTAGAAATAAGTGGGTATTTGGATAACAATTGTTAAATTGTTATTGAACTGGGAGATCATATGTAGTTTGGATTTTATTTTATTAAGTGACTGGGTCACATGAAATGTTCTGATAGATGAAAGCAGCCATCCAGGTCCATATTTATATTATTTAATACACTATAACATTGAATGTATATTTTCTTTTGCCATGCAGTAGCCTAAATGAAATAATGCTTTTCTTGACTCGGGAGGTAACTTAAAAATTCCATACAACATAAAGAATTTTCTCTTATCAAAATATTTTCTCCTAAGAAGTATGCTTCCATAATGCAACTTGCTGATAACACACACACACACTCACAAACCATAAAAACAAGTAGAACTTGCTGGAGTAATCTAGAAAACAGAATTGTAGCACACCAAAAACTTGATGGCCGTGGTTCAGAGGGTTTTGAATCTTGGCTCAGTCATTTACTTGCCATGAGACCCTGGGAATCCGTAATCTGGGGATCATTATACCTCTCTTGTTGGGTCAGACAGCTCAGTAAATAGACTAAGGAAAATCTTCTAAAAGTCAGTCCATGTTCAATCATATTAGCAATTTAGTCCAAAATATTCTTTTTGTTGGTGGGGAAAATAGAGTCTAAAGCAAAATAAAATAATGGTGGAGAGGAACCTAACTCCCAGACACGCTCCCCCAAAGGATTTCACTTAATCACACCACAACCAAATCAACGTGAATAAAGCAAACTGTCCTTTATCTGGAACTCAAGCAACTAGCACTCTCAAACAACCAACATACAATCCCCCGAGAAAAACATGTTAAAAAAAGTTAAAATCTGGTGCCTGTGCCATAAGTAAACTGGTGCCCACAGCTCCCAATGTGTTCTCTGGAACAGTTTTAAATGTTATTGTGTGTTACCTGGAGTTAAGAAATTACGGTAGTGAAGTTGAAAAGTGTACCGACTGCCATTCAACTAAAATTGTATCATACACTGCATTTCTAATGCTGTTTTATAATACAGGTAAACTGTGTTATAGTAAGTGGTTTGTCTTTGTCTTAATTTGCTTTTAATTAGTATACTTCAATATTATTACCAAGTCAATGTAGAGTTTACGGTATGATATTGACATTGGATTTTTCTTATCCTCCCTGCCTTCTAGGTCTTAGGAATTTAACAATGAAGTCACAGACCCGAGGCAAGCAGAAGCCACAGAGAGACAGGTATTAGAGGGCAGAAAAGCTTCCCATACAATGGAAGGGGGGGCAGGGCTTGTTGGGCTGCTTGGATATTTGGGGCTTTTATCCCTTGTTGGCCCACCCAAAGCTAGCTGGCAAACACTGATTGGGTCTTTCAAACCCACCTAACTTAAATTGATTGTTTTTTTAAACCTTAAAGGACTGGCCTCTGTTGATTGGCCCGCTGTTCCCCCATGTGCACTTTTTTTGCCCGATCCCGGGGGGGGGGGTGTCTCTCCCCCTGGCATGCCCTGCCCAGCAATATAGCCAGTGACCAATGGCTACACAGGTCAGCCTGGAGGAGTCCCTCCCCCTTCTTTTCCCGTCTGTTTCCCAATCCCTGGGTAAAGCCTTCTGGTTTCTATCAGTCTGGTATAGTATGGGGTGTCGCGTTAGGTAAGCACCTGGAAACTACATTTATCTGGAATCTACCAATTCCCATGGGTGCTGAAGAATGGGCAGATTACTGTTCTTTCTCTTCATGTGATACCTTCAAGTCAAAGATAAAATTCTCTGTGATCACCCAAACCCTAAAATATGCCTTGTTTTACATTTCCTAAGAGCAGACCATGTGACTTCCTCTCCTTTCAAAGGGACACAGCTATTCCTCATACAATTTCCACGCCACAGTGGAGGGTGTAATGAGGTGAGGCAGAGACGTCCCCAAACAAGTGGTTCTGGGAGAGAAACAGGAGGGACCAGCTGACTCTCAGGCCAGGGTTGTGAAATGTCTTCAGGCAAGGGCAGGTGCACTCTAGCAAGGGGGCCTCTTTGCACGTTTGTAGACCTCACTGGGAGTGACAATTAAATTAGGTCTCACTTGGATTTTCTCCCATTACATTAGCACTTACATAATCCTGCCAATGTTCGGCAACTTGTGAATCTGTAATCTGATGACTTCAGATAACACTTAGATCATGTTTTACTGCTGCTGAATAAACCTATAATTGTCTTATTAAGGGGTTCTGTTTTCATTCTGGTGGGCATACTTCAGTTGGCAAGTTTATTTCACCTGTAGAAATTCATACTACAGTGACTTTTCCTCTAATCTGAGGAAATGGAAATTTAAAAATGTAGCAAATATTTCCAGGCTGTTGACTTGTTAACTGTATTGCTTTTCTGATTCATTTATAATGATTTATCTCTTTGGTAAATAATAGCAAAAACAAAGCTATAAAAAACTAATATATGAGAAGGAAAATTAAGAATTATATGCCAGAGTAGCCAAAGGCTGAAGTTGAAAATATTTATATTTCTAAGACTCTTTCACCTTCCCATTACACAAAGCTTCAAGTATATCCACAAATTGAAACAAAAACAGCTTGAGCTGGAATTAAGCAGCATAAAGTTAGGAAGTTAAAGCTAGATAGCTTCAGCGGGGTGTCCGGATTGTTCTATTTGCCTGGATAGTTAGCTGATGCTTCTGGATTTATTTGGGTACTTCTAGAAGTACATATATCCATAGATGTCATGCTCCTGTTTTATATACACTCACAAAGTAGAACTCAAATTAGTCTTAGGAAGGCTTTTTATTAAATGGATGAATTAATACTATTATACTAAATATGCTTAATCTGTAGACATCAGTCATGCCATTGTATAATATAATTGCAATAAAATTTGGATACACTCTATTTCCTTTTTAATTGGGTTGAGAAGTCAGTTATGTTTTTCATTATTAATTCAAATCCATGGGGAAGAAAAACACAGACGTAACCATAGATCCATGTATCTCTGAACTAATTCTGTAAGTCTATGAGAGCACAGCAATGCTATCCCCAGCCTGTTAGGACTTTATCTTTCATAATCTATTCCACCTAAAAATGAAGTAGGCTTAACAATTTCTCATAATCTTAAGGAAATGATCTGGGTAAAGAACAATTTCCAGTTTACTGTTTTATTCCGATTGATCCTCTCATGTAACATACACAAGTATATATAGCCCTTCAATTCTACTTTTAGATTTGCTGAGGCCAGAAGTGATGAACGTAGTATCTAGTCAAAATGGCTAAAGAAGTAAGCCCCTCTGAAAAAAAATGGGAGCTATGTTAAAATTTTACAACTTTAGAAACTTTCGTAACTTTTCCCATGAAGTATATATATTCAATATATATATATCTCAATCAACGTATAATATTGCTGCTCCGAAAATGAAGTTGCTGAAGTCATGGAGTCAGTCCTGTACACCCAACAGGAATATACTGAGGAGAGTGGCAAGGAGTGGCACCTAAGCCCTCTGCCAAATCTCATTTCGAGGAAACTGGAAGTTGTGTTTGGTTGTATCCTAACTGGTTCCTCAGACTTCATCCGGATTTTAGCTGTCGGAAGCCTTTTCCTCCATCCATGCCAAAGGGAAACATCAGGCACAAATGACAGAGCAGATGATGTGAGCTTGCGGCAGAAATGAGCCCCAGTAAAAAGAGGGCCCTCAGCCAAGCGCCCCATGGCCCGCTGTCCCCTCTGTCGTAGTAGCTTCTACGGATGGCTTTTCTTTTCTGAGGAGAAACCTATTAAAAACAGCAGAAAAATGTTTCAGATTAAAAATTAACATTTCATTTCTCTTCTTCTGGCTTAGGGCTAACATAAACTTTGAGGCTGGCAAAAAAAAGGTATTTTATTCATGAGCTCCCTACAAGTTTACACTGAGAAATCAAGAGGCAGGAGATGGAGGGTTATTATTTTAAGCACTGACATATGCTTACCATTTTGTGAAATCAGTTGTGGCCTCGTTCTAATCATGCTTGAAGAGGAATGTTCTATACTAATTCTTGTTCTTCCTGGCATTTCAGTGGCTTGGACATTTGCTTATGAAAGTAAGTCATATATTTTGCTGTTGGGTACAGTGCTTGGCCCAGAGAAAGATAACTTACCAAATGAACTATTTTTAAGAAGATGATACTGGGCATATTATTGTCAAAGCCTAGAAAAGATCGTCTGTGATCTTAAGATGTGTTAGTGTACTGTGAAGACCAATATGAAAAAATTTGGAATATTTTAGTGGGACTAGGCTAGAATGCATAAATGAGTACCACAGTGGTTTAGTTATGGCAACAGGATAATTAACTATAGAAATGCCAGGAAAGAAAGTGTTATTCATGATAAGTTAAAAATATGTTGAAAGTTGTATACTTTCTAATCTGCATTTGGTATACCAAAGACATGCTAAACTAATAGTTTGGTAACAAAAGCACAGAGGAAGATAGAAAGTTACTTTTCTAGGCTTAAAAAATATGCTGCTGAGAACTGTGGTCATTACATTAAAAAGACATCTAACGTGTTGAGAACATACAGCTGGACGCAGAAATATCACATATAAGTAAGTCACTGATCTAACCAACCTGAAGTTAAAATTTAATTCATTAATGACACATATCCCCAGTATATTAAACTATTTAAAAAATTAACTCCTTTGTAATTTGTACAATGCTCTTGGGCAGTAGGTATACAGAGTCAAGGGTCATTATCCCCGTGTTGTAGATGGAGAGAGGGTACAGCGCATGAAATAATCCACGGCAGAATGCAAATCTGAACAAAAACGAAGACAGGTCTTAGTGTCTTAAAGGGAAGGCAAAATTTCTCTATAGGTGCAGTGAAGGTGGGAAGAAACTTCTCCCTGAGACTTGGCTCAGTGTAGTTATAATGGCAAGGGCAGAGAAATTCCCCGAGGGAATCATGGGTCTTCATGGTGGTAGAAAGAGTCAGCTTGGCCTTGTTGGTTGGTGAAGACTTGATAATTTTGCCCCTGATTATTTATTAATGTTACATTCTGTGCTTTTGCATTCACCAGAGTGTAGGTTAAACAGCACGATGTGGAAGTGATCTGAATGTGACCCAGGGTCTTTGGTGGCAGAGGCCCTGTCTGTACTCCATGTCAAGGATTGGCTGAACCTGAAGTTCAGTTGGTACTGGCAGGGTGGGGTGAACAGCAGAGTGGGGCAGACCACCCACTGGCTCTGCTCTCTATTTCACTCACCCCTTAGAACGTACATGGTTGGGCATGGTCTATAAGAAAACGTAGGTAAGTGAACGTCCTTCTCATTTGGGATGTAACATTTAATATAGGGCTTGCTTTTTTCCCCTACAGGTTTTAATATCCTATTTCAGAGAATTACTGAAATTTTATTTATGTGGTGGAATTGGGACTAATCTAGACTTACTGCATGCATATGTTTTACGTAGGCTCTATGTTAATTAGAATGTTTAGTATGTTCTCATAAAGTCTAGTTTTAAATAGAAATATATGTACCACTTGTATGTTCATGTATGTATAAACATTTTTTATGCTTTAATATTCTTTCAACTAAATCATCTGGTTGACTACTAAATCGACTTTTATAGCATTATAATAGAGGCAAGAAGGCAATTCTTTTTTAAAAATCTAGAAACAGGAATAAAATTGTCTATCTCTAAATTTTGATTAATCTTCTCTACACTAATGGTAACATAACTAAGAAAGAAGCTGTATTTTAGAAAAGAAAAATATTCTTAATACTTTCCCATCTATATTAAAAATTATACTACAGTAAGTTTCCTGTTTCTTCCATCTCTAGCTCTTACAATTTACAGTGGATTCTTTATTTTTTCATACTGACAGAAAAATAAAAATGAACCTAGCCATTTTGCTAACATAAGTATCTGTGATGCTGACATATAAAGGCAGTTATAAAAAGACAAAGACCAAGAAATAGAGATGTAGTATTGGCTTTCAGGACAGGACCATCAGAATGTATTTGAATAATGTATATGCAAGGCATAATGCTGTTATATTTTACCTAACATATACCTTAGAGTAGTCCATATTATTTAGTGGTTATGATTTGGGCTTTTAGAGTCAGACTGGGCTTGTCGTGCTACAGCCAATAATAAGCTGTATAGATGTGGACAGGTTACATCATCTCTCTATGCCTCAATTTTCACATTTATAACACAGGGACAAGAGCAGTACTCATGCCATAGGGTTGCTATAAAGTTTTGGTGAGATAATAAACATATAAAGTACCTAAAATAGTTTCTGGCATATAGTTACTATTATGAGTTGAATTGTGTCCCCTCAAAAGATGAATTTAAATTCTTAGCCTGGAACTTGTGAATGTGAACTTTCTTGGAAATATGAAATATGAACTTCTTGGAACCCTGTAATCAGATTAAGAAATGGCCACTGTGGACTGGGGTGTTGAACTTATTAGAAGGGGAAAATTTGGACACAAACACAGATACAGAAGGAAGATGGCCACGTGAAGATGGAGATGGAAATCGGAGTTGTGCTGCCACAAGCCCAGAACACTCTTCCCTAGAGGATCTAGAGCAGTGGTTCTCAACCTTCCTAATGCCGTAGCCCTTTAATACAGTTCGTGTGGGTCATGACTCACGGGTTGTGAACTGCTGATCTAGAGGGAGCTCGACCCTGCCAGCACCTTGACTTTGGACTTCTAGCTTCGAGAGCTGCGAAGAAAAAGTTTCTGCTGTTTTAAGCCACCCAGCTTGCGGTATTTTGTTATGGCAGTCCTAGGACGTGAACGCAGTCAGTATTCAGATGATTAGTTATTATTAGATGTTTGCACAGGCCAACTATAATATTTAGGCTTTGATCTTCTATATTGTAAAGAAATAATTATGTTTGCTACCAAAGCAATCTCACAAGCCTTCATCTCATGCCTTTCCAAATATGCAAGAATTGAGCTCAAGTTCATTAGACAAAGTTCAACTCTGTGCCATATGAAAAATTTGGAATGTACAGAAGTGGCTGGCATGCAAGGCAGTCAGCAAACATAGCTTTCTGACATTTCACAAAGGAAGAAACAAACATTTTTTCAAGGTTATATTAACTTTACTATGCCATAATTATTCTAGAAACATGGAAATCATTTTGCATCTCATTCTGATAACAGATGAAACTGTTCTTTGTAAATGGTATGTTTCTAAACAGAAACTGTAACTCGTTAACGTCTGTGGACTTCAATATATGAAAAACATCATTATTTAATGCTTTACAGAGAGAAAGCCAAGTCTCCCAAGTCCCGAAAAACTTTATTTGAAATCTTTAGTTTTTGAAATAAAAGTTGATTTTTAATGCATCTCCAAAGCATTCTAAAATAACCACAGATAATAACAGAGCAAAGGTGAAAATTAGTGAACTGGAAGACTGTTTGATGTGGTACTCAGCACCTACAGCCCTTAGTCCCTGGCCAGGGGCCCCTTCCTTGGGTCCCACACGTCAGAGGACTGTGCTCTGGCCCCACTCCAGCCACATTACTCTTCACAGTATTAACTACCCTTTCTTCTAGAACAAGATCGTGGCACCTAAACACAGCCCCCTCAATTCCCTGCCTGCATGCCCCTGGGCCTGCTTCTAGGACTGTGTGGTCCTCTTCCCAGGCCTGCAGGCTGTCTGAGGAGCACTGTTTGTAGGGTAGTGAGGAGCATATGGATGAAGTTGGGATGTGCCAACTGGATTGTCCCCAAGTCTACACTTAGCTGTCCTGCTAGTCAGAAAGTGGGACAAGAAAGTGGTGGGTTCCTGGCAGGACCTGAACTCAGGTCTCCCTGGGCCACATGTTCTGGCACAGAATTGGTTTTGAATCTGAGCATTCTAAATTCTATTCTGGAAGGTCAGAATAAAATATTCTGTATATTTATCAAGGTAGGAGGATAGAGTATACTTGAACAGCTTCTCAGATTGATTCATTTATACGTATAGCTGTATTATATACATATATATAAATACAAATATACATACAATTTTAATACATTTCTTAAAATGTGTATGAATTTTTTTGGCATCCTGTGTGTGTGTGTGTGTGTGTGTGTGTATAATATACAGCATACAGCTCTCCGTTCATTCCTGCTTGAGACCCCAGAAATGTTAGAGGGTAATCTAGTGGTGTTATTGAAATTTAATCACTCATTACCTATCATACCTTTAAAAATACATGAAGCTACTTCTCTGTACACATTTAATAGAGCTACTATTTCATGGTTAATTGCCATAAGAAGAATAATTATAGTGGAAAATAGTAAGATAAAAATATGTGATACATTTATTGGGGGTCAGAAAAGTGAATTTTTCAGGAGTCATAGGAAATTAACAAAAGTGGACCTGAATGATCTATAAAGCACAACATACTAGTCAATATTAAATTAAATATCCACACTTCTGAAAGGTTCATTTCTTTTTAATAGGAGTGAATATTATAAGTATTTATAGGAAGGATAAAATAGGAATTTTAAGAAATAATTTTATTTATAGATTCTCAGAAATAGAGTTTAATTTTCCTACTTATTTTTTTGATTGGTTGAATTTTCATATTTTCAGCTCAAAATATGGTATATTGATTAGTAGCATATTCTTGATAGTGGATAAGTATATTAGGTATATAGTAAAATAATATCTACTCTTGTAACAAAAATATTCATAAAATCAAAAGATTTTAACCCTATGATTCCCTATTGATCAATACCACAACATTATTTTATCGGAATTCTGAGCCATTTAGTTAATTAAATCTACAGATCAAAAGGAATTTTCCAATTAAATGAACCAAAAAACAACAAGAATCACTACTGAAATTATATGATGGCACATGAGTCATTTGTGACGAGGGTGGTTTCAGAACTCTTGCCAGTTCATAGGGGACCTGGCTTGAGCTATGAAATAACATCAGCTGTGAAAGCTAAAAAAAGAGCAATGGGAATCCCATATGGGCAGATTTCTGAGTAAGGGATTCCTTTGGTGGTTCCCCTCTTCCTTAGTATAGATAAGTCGCAGGGCTGTGTTGGAGTTTAAAGGACGGGTTTCAAATGGCAATGTACCCCTGTCTGGTTCCACCAGGCCTGCCCATGCACACATTGGTTCATAATGTATCAACTACCCATTTACTCTTACATAGTACCATCATTTACTTGAAACATTCTAAATGTCAAATAAGCAGCCTAAATAATATATGCTGTGGGTTCACAGGAAGACGAGATTATTGAGGGTTAGCCACTAGTCACTTTATATGCAAATCAGAACCCTAGTCTCACCTTTATATCTACAGTTTAAGAAAATGTTAATATAGTGGGAGGAGCAGGTTTTCAAAGGCATTATAGGATATGATTGAAAGCAGAGGTTTTAGAATCCTGTATACCAAGGAATCTAATCCCAGTGCTACTCCTTACTATGTGATTTAGATACATTACTTCAATTCTCCAAACCTCAGTTTCCTCATGTGTAAAACTGTTTAAAATAAAACCTATTTTATAGCATTGCTGTGAAGATTCAAATAAGTAATTTTTAAAAAATGCGTAGGTGGGTACATCATGGAACTTTATTTTTTATTATAGTTTTATATCTAAAGACACTGTTACACAATTGTTTATACATCACAAAGTTAATTATATTTTTCCTAAGTAGACAAAAATCAGTAGGGCTCATACACTGACTACAAAATTTAATTTTTGCATATTATAGTTTCTGAATGTCATCACAACACATCTTTATTTTACATGATTATTAGCTTCTTTAATATTGATCCAGGAAGAATCCAAAAGTGGTATACAAATTCTCTACTAAGTAATTGTATTTTCTAGTGATTAAACTCCAACTCGAGGAGAAAATATCTTTAATATTCATGCCAGACCAATATAAAATGGAAAATTGTAATTGGGTGGCAATTCAGCTATTATACAACAACGGATTTCAAAACACAGACCTTATGTAACAATTATTCTGGAACAGCATGCCTTCTCTATGAAAGCTCTCCCTTATGGCTAGAACCCAAGAACTTAACTAACACCACTGTTTACATTTGTAGTAGAAGACAAAGAAAAAAAGGAAGTCCTGTAGTTTTCTTGTTAATCCCTGGACATTATATTATAGAGTTCCCACTTTTTATATCTCTTCTCTATGATGTTACAGTAAAGTATGGCCTTTAACACTCCCAGTGCTCCTGTGTACAGCTGTTCAGGTTGTGTACTGCACAAGTCTAGGAGACTCCATTCATATGAATGACGATGACAAGCCCAGCAGAACTTGTGACATTCACAACCTGAAAAACTACACATGGTATCCCGTGCTCCTTAATTTTACTCCACAATAGACTCCCTGAATTAAAAACTAGAATTCAAGATCTCAGCTCTAAACTCAATGGCCTGAAATTAGAAAATAACTCATCTTCAGCTTCTTTAGATAGATTGAAATCTTTGGAAATTAATAAGTTAGAGTCATAGCTGTGTGTCATGAGACTTCAGACACATAGAAAACACTGATGGCTTCTGATTATATGTGATGAGAATTAACAGTGGTTTATGATCATAGCTCAGTTAATACAGCCCACTTCTGGATGGCCATGTGAGGTCCTAGAAACAATCAATAGAAATATAGCAGATTCTAGAAAAAAGGAGAATGGTAAACTAAAAAAAAGGTAAGATAAAAAAGTATTCTTAGTTATGAATGCTTTATAGGTGACTTGTAGTTTTTCCCAGCATCCTTCGAGGTGGGTGTTGTGGGCAACTCTGTCCTAAGCTAACAGCTCTGTCTTGGAGTCTGACATTTAGTCATAAGGGAACCCAGTTCTGAGCCTTTGGTTTCCTCTGTCTGTCTGCCAGTGACATTTAAAACATCTGTCTAGCAAACTCAACCTGGAATAGAGGATGTGCATCTGTCCTTTGTAATACCATCACAGAGCTTTGTTGTTGTTGTTGTTATAATACAGATATGCTTAAAGTTTTCACTTCTAACCCCAGATGGAATTCTGAGCCTGGAACGGGAACAGAAGCCAGAATTGAGCTTCATGCATTTCTGCATTTGCACATTTTCTTTGTCTTCAGGAGTTCAATTTAACCCCAGGTGCATCGAATTAAAGTTGTGTGTGCAACACAACTTTATAGTGAGTCCTCCCTGAGTACGAATGAATATTTGTTGAGTGCATATCCCGTTAAAATGTAAACATGAAAGAACGTTCAATGCAGCTGTGGTCTTACCATTCGCCTTGTGCTGTACATCTGGCGGAAGCTGGTCTAGCGCATACCACTGATAGTCTGGCTGTGCAGAACGATAAAACATTATTGTAGCAAAATGGACTTCAAACAAAACAGAGTGGCAAGTTAAAAAATGTCATCATGCTATGTGGCTTTTATTAAGCAAGGAACACAAAGTAATTTCTATCTAAAACCTGTCGCCAATCTCACTCATCCGGCTTACCGCCCTCATCACTACCACCATCAGTGCCCATCCCCTCTGAAATCCATTCTGTTTAGTCAGAATTTCTGCTACTTTGGAGTTGAGACAAGTTTTCTTTTTTTCTTTCTTTTCTTTTTATTTTTTTGAAAACAGATGTGTTTTGGATATCTGCAGAAGTATAAACACTTTTGTAAAACTTACTATAGTCCATAAATAAAATATAGCAATTTACTGTCAATAAATATGCTTTAAAAAACCCTCACCCTGGAGGCAATGAGAAGGCCAAGGAAAAAATACAAGTTTAATCTAAGTGTTCTAGTGGTTCAAAGAAGAAATCTGAGCTAGGAATGGGGACATGGCATACAGAGACTCAGGATGGTGAAGCAATGCAAATCTTTCCTTTCAGAATGTTCTTCAGCAGAACCTGTTTTCTAAATTGCTCCGACAGTTTAGTCTAGAGAGACTAGATTTCTCTCTTGATATTTTCTCTTGGGTTTACACTAGTTAAGAACAGCTCAATATTGCATGTCAGGGAACATGTCAAACAAATCGCATGGACTAAACAATAACCTATAAACCTGAACTATCATGATAGCTTCAAGGCCAGCATCTTTGCATTTGATTTCTTGAAATGGAGCAATCTCAGCTTTACCTGGTCACAATATAGGTCTGTTTTTCTGCTTTGAATGCTCACCCCTGCCTCCTACTTCTGTACAAGACACAGAATATAGATCTTCTGTTCTATTATTCAATTATCTCCTAATGAAAATTTATCTAACATGAGCCAATAGGGAGCATTTGTGAGGCTGCCAGACCACTGAAGTAGCCTGAAACGTTCAATTACCTGCCAAGACACCGAGAAATGCTGGCTTTACTACAGTCTGACCTCACTTTACCCCCACTCAGGCACCGAGGCTCTTGGTTTCTTTGGCTTGTGAAAAAGCTAAAAGAGGAAATGAGATCACCTCTGTTTTTTATCTTCTCGTTTATTTTTAGATATCTCAAATAACACATAGGATAAGTGACGTGAGCCTCAGTTTTATATTCTAGGAGACTTGCCAGAAGAAGGTAAATATACGGTAATGTTACCACCATCACTGCACGTGATTGGCTCCAGGCTGAGCCATAAGCAAGAAACATGGAATATTCTTTTAAAATGAACTCGGAGTATAACAGTAAACTCTACTGTTATACTAAGATTATTATTATTTTTTTTAGCTGAATACTGCTTGAAAATGTAAGCCATTATACATGGCTTGGAATCCTTTTCTCAAATATAGATCTTTATTTGGTGATAAGTTCATGGGATCTTCTAAATGATGAGAAGTTTACTGAGCTATAGAAAGTGAACTCTTTTTTACTTTCTGTAAACAAAGATTGACAAAAATAGCCGTTTTTCCTCCTCAACTTGAATGAGTTGTTGGTTTTATGCTTAACCTTTTACAAGAATATTTCTCCATTTCCCCAACCTGTAGTAGCTAACTCCTGAGGAAGTTTCTTTTCATATTTGCCATAATCTTAGTTTACGTCCACATTCTTGAAAAGAAAATGTAAGGAATGACAGCTATGTTTGAAGATTCCCAGAAATGCTTTTAGGAAAGACTGAAAACTAAGTAAGCAGGTAAAGAACCAAGAAAATGAGAAAATAACTGGTAACAACATGAAGAACTAAATTCTCAGCAGTATGCTGTGTCATACCAGGGTCAAATGAGAGACACCCATTAAATCCTGACATCTTTGTGCCACCCAGGGAAATGGGCTTTGAGTCACACTCAAGTACAAAATTTTAAAAGGTTTCAAGTAAACCACTCGTTCTCTGCAAGGGCTTTGCCAGGAAAATCCCAGTTAAAAATCTCATTTTTTTTTTTTTTTTGCTTCCTTAGAAACACAGTTAATAAAAACTAAGGGGTGAACTGTCTAAGGAAATCTAAAATGCAGAAAAATGAATAATTCTTTTTCCTGGATAAAGTTTCTGTTTATGTAGGCAAAACAGAGAGTAGATACAAGCATTACGATTGTGGAGAGGGGGTGAGTGGAATAGCGCTATTGAGAAGGGAAGGAAGGGTTCTTTGGGCCTGACTTATTCAGGTTGACTGTCCAAATCAATTCCACTCACAAGTAATTGCTCCCTGTTCATTTCATTTTTCCTGGGCAGACACAGCCATGGAGAACAGTTTAAGTGGGTCACTTTTTCTTGGATCCTATAAGAGAATCCTTTCAATTGGAAAACGTCAAAAGGTATTTTGTACACATGCAGCCATATCCATAATAGTTCAATGTAAGTTTACAATGTTAAAAAAAGCATCTCATGTTTTTGTTTGGCTATATCTACTTTGCTTTTCTTTATACATAAAAATGTCCTTGGAGTAGTGTCAGGTATGCCAGTTGAAAATGACCCATATAAAGTGTTATACATTTGTTTAAGAAATCTTTACCTCAATTTGATATCCTTCAGTTAATTTATTTATATCTATGTGTCCTGTGGATTCAGTGTCTCAAAGATAATTATATTGTACATTGACCATTGGAACTGTAAAAATTAGAGGCTGAGAGAAAATAGAAGCTCTTTCTATAGACAATATTACATGCCCAAACTCCAGAGATGCACATAATTTTTGCTAAAGAGAATACTAAACATTTATGTGTCAAAATGAGAACTCTTACTTACTGGATGCTCCTGTGGGTTCTGCACAGCCCCAGGGCCAGTCGATCCCCAAGGATCCCGCAGATGGAAAACCAAGCCACAGTTACAGGTTGGGAAATACATCTGGGGAGAACAATGTTGTTGGTTCACTGGCGGCGGGTGAAACCGGGGAGTCACAATGACACTTGCTTATACAAGGTTTGGTTTCAATCTTAAGGTGTCATCTAATTTGGAATAATTCTAACATAGATTCAGGAATGATGCAAATGAGAATCCTAGGCCAAATTTTGCCTAAAGTGAAGCTATAATCATTTCTTCATCTTGAAGAAATCAGAAAGCATATAGAGTTAACTTTTTGTGTCTGAGTTATCTTCACAGAGGATCCTCACTGAAGAAAAAAAAAAACATCATTGAGTCATAAAATAAGTTTTCTTAGATTTCAGCCAGAGACAAGTAAAGTCCAGAGAGGAAATTAGGAATTAAGAGAAATAACATTTATCCTTTAAGACAACTGAAGAACCCACGGGATAGAACACTTCAGTGACTAAGAAGACATGCTATTTTCTTGAAAGAAGCAAAATCTTTGCTATCGTTTTCTACTGCAAATTGTATGAGCAACTGCAAGAAATACCAAGGAAATGTATTTCCCAGATGTTTGTGGATCTGTGAAGTGATGGCCTTTTGAGTGAACACTCACTAAGGCTTATGCTACTGGAAATGTGCTCTGTAAAGCATGTGTTTTTCATGAGTGTTAGGGTTGAAAGTCTTTGGTGGTTCCTAAGATGGTCTATCTATTGATGGTTTAGTTGATAATGAAAAATATGGGTTGTTCTAGGCCATCTGTAGCAGAGTGTGCCTTTAATTAGGACCATGAGAAATTCTGTATCGGGGAATAAATGTGTGAGTGAAACTTAAAGTTGCCCTTTCAACCATGACAAGAGGGCTTACGTAGCCACCAACATACCTGTTTTAATTGTTTTTCTAGTTTTTCCTTCTCCATCTGACAAGCTTTTATCTATGGAAAAAACAAAGGTGTTTGTTTATTGGGAAGAGTTCATGTCATTAGTTCCAAAGATACTCGTGACCCAGCTGTCAATGACCTACTCAGAAGCTCAAGGGCTGATGCACTGACAACAGTAATGCCAACAAAAACAGTCACATTTCAGATTTTCCACTCATGCATTGATCCCATCTTGAAATTTCCAAATGAAGTTTAGAAAGTTGCATAGTTTTAAATGTTATTCCAACTTTTTGAGGCCACTATAATTCTCTGTATTAACTTGATCTATTTAGGTTAGATATAGAAACAGCTTCCATTGCTCACCAAATGAAGTTGGAATTGGTCATCTTAACTTTCAAAAGCTTCCACAATAAATATTGGAAGTTGTATATGCACTTAATACAGAGGCCAGACACTAATCTAAATCCTTTGGATATAATAACTTATTGAATCCTCCCAATGCCCCTGTGTGATACTTAATATTACTATCTCCATCTTAAGAGATGAGAGTGTCAAAACTTGAGATGTTGAGTAACTTATTCAAAGTCATACTTTATGACCTCTCACTATTAAGGCCTAGCTACATCCAGCAAAGTCACTGACCCTCCTGGGTTCTCCCCATGCCCAATACACCTAGACCAAGCTGATTTTTATGAGTGTTTTTTTCATGCCATCTTCATCTCTATACCTCATGTTCCATATCCCTAAAAGAGGCAAATGTCTCCTCCTGTGTGATACTTACCCAAGTCCCACTCATCAGAATTATTCCCTCCTCCCATGGTCCTCCCTTGTATATACTCCCAGATAGTATGTTCACTATCTGACTTAGTGCAATGTACACTATGTATAGTCAATTCTTGCTACTGGCAGTGGTTATATTCCATACAGTCAGTGTAAATACTGAATTAGTGAATACTGAGCCATTGTTCCTAGGGGAAATTTAGGCTGCAGTTCTTGTGAGCCTCTGGTCACAATATTTTGTCAACTGATCAATCATAAACTTGTTTTATATGTGATTCTGATTAAAGACACTTTAATATGTATTGTTGATCCATTAACACTGAACTCACAGTCAACTGCACTATAACTTCTGCCTGAATAAAGTTTATCTAACACACATTTTCTCTGCAATGGCACATCACAGCTTTCATGCACTTAGGAACATGGACAGCACTTCAGTACTCTGCTTGGTGGCCATTTTGTTGAAATTTCAACAAAACCCACAAAAATGTGAAAAAGAAACTTTCTATAGAATAAGAGCTGAAACAAGAAGTCAGGGCATCCCTTGTTTGATCTCAGCTGGACATGTGCATGTCAGTGACTCCGCTTCCCTGCTGCTCTGCCCAGGTTTGAGAATGCATTGTGAGAGCACCACAAACATTGATTTTGGGGTGAAAAATATTTACTGAGTTGGCAAATCCACATATATAGAATTTGCAAACGTTGAGGATAGACTGTATATGTCTTTTTTATTATATTGTGAATTCCTTCATAGCAAGAACTGCTATTGGTATTTTATTTCTCTAAAGTATAAAGCAGAATGCCTTGCAGAAAGAAAGCATTGGAATTAAAGTCCAAGGAACTGAAAGTAGCATTTAACTATATAACTAAAGAAATGGCTAAACACATGCCCTTCTAATAGAGTAAAATAATTTATGACATACCTTTGAGTTATGACTTGAACTAGATGTTTTTATAAAGACCCCCCCCCCACTTAACCCTGAGAACAATTTTGTGAAGTCGTGCAGTAGGTATCGGCATCCATGTTTTACAGGTGAGGATACTGAGAGTGGTTAGGTAACTTATTTTTTAAAGACAGAGGTTTTAGAGTTAGAAGAAGAATTTTACAGATCATCTAGTCTAACTTTGTCATTTTATAAATGAACAAAGGGAATCACAAAGAAGTTGAAGAACTTGCTCAAGGTCATACCAACTGAGTGTTAGAGTGTTGGGAACACCAGGTCTTTCCCCGCTAAATTCCTTCTCCTCCTCAGCACCTTAAGTATCTTTCCCTTCACCACATTGCTATTTTACCATTATTGTTGGTTTAAACACATCCTAGTGATAGAATGAATATATTCTGGTATGTAAGCAAGTAGTGCCAGAATGATTTCACCTAGAAATTCCTTTAAAAGTCTACTTGGACAAAAAATAATATACTTGTGCTATTCAACTAAAGTAATACCTTTACTTTTTATTATATCATAGCATTTAACCTGCTGTACATATATTTAACCTAGATCATCAAATCATCTACTGTATCTCCTTATGAGTTCTATTGTCCTCTTCCCAGAGGGAGGAATACTTTTGAAAAATAAACAATTGGGTTATAATTATTTTAAAGAAAAGTTTTGATGTTGTGAGATAACACTTAGATATTATTAAGTTCCTTAGTTTATATGCACAATTATACCCTGTAATATTTAGAGAATACATTTATTCTGTTGATATAAAGCAAAAATTACTTTACAGGTGACACAGAAAATGATTTGTGGATTATATAGTATATACCAATACATAGATGAATATACATTCCTCGCTAGAATGAAAAATTCGTAATGGCAAGGACATTGCCAGTCTTATATACCAATTTATCACCAATCTGAACTTAGTAGAACGAATAAAACTAAAATATACCAGGAAATGAAATTATTTATACAGTCACAACTTAAAAGAAATTAAGGATGTTTTGCATCTAAGAAATAAACTTTAGGGAGATTACTGTACCATTTCATAAGCTACTTATTAGGTTGCATAAATTATTTTCAGAAAATTACTTAATTATATTTTTGCTGTTATTTTATTCCTCTAATTTCTTAGAGAGGATGTTCTGCTGAAAGTTTTTTTCCTTGTAAAATCAGGAATTTCAAGTTAATCCTTCAATAAAAATCAGAAAAGAAATTAAGGTTAATTTATCACCTACTTTGTATTTGGAGGAGGAAGGGGATGACTAATAGTTTAAAATTTCTTCTAAGACTAAATAAGATTCTTAAAGCTAAGAGCAGCCACAGCACATTCCATAACTTCCTATTTATTCAAAAGCATTGGATAATTCTGCAAATCCAAAATGTTACATTTCATTTTTTTAAGCCAGAATTGTTTTAGCTACATTTTCCTTCATTAACATCAGTATTTACCCATCAGCGCAACTTCCTCCATCTACTTTAATCTATCCTATTACATCCAATTTTAGCGTGCTTACATTTAATATATTCTATTTTAATAAACTGGTGACCGCTATCTGGCTTCCTTGAAAGTGCTCCAGTTACATTAAATCTGAGAACCCACTGAACAAAATTCTCAGTTTCACATGTAAATGGTGTTTAGAAATATGTACGTTTTTGGCAGACAGGAGCTTTCCCACATAGCTCTTCAAAGAAAATGACTAGACTTTAGAAACCACTTCATTCTATTTGAGTACTAGGTAGTTCAACTCTTATTCTACCAAGATAAATATTATGAGAAAAAGATTAAAGAACTGTATTTTATAAAAGACTTTGGAATCCAAATTCTTGGTTAATTCTTTAATAAACTGAAGTTAAAATATATGTCTAGTCGTTTTCATCTCCTTACCAGATTGTTTAAGAATGATTTTGTCCCAGCTGCTAACCTCTCAAGAAAATCCAATGTCAACTAACAGAAGTCAAAAAGTCTTCGTTAATAAAATACATATATCCTGGCAAATATTATTTTGTTTTGATTTGTACCTGAGAAGTCAGCCTGTTCAACTGGGATTGAGACATTTGATTAATTTGCTGTAGCTCTTCTTTCTCTTGATTAAGTCGTTCTCGGTCTGATCGTTCCTTTTTGAAGTCTTCTTCATATATTTGCACCTATGAAACATTAACTGCCTGTTACTATTAGCTTCCTTTACGTCATTTAAATGACTTCCTTAAGTCATTTAAAAGATTTCAGAAAAGCTATTATCTAGGCCTTTCCAACCTGAGACATTTCTACCCTCTTTTCATAAATATTTCTTCATGGTGTGATGGAGAAATACAAATGACAACCTCATTTTATCTTTCACCTTGGTTAGAGTGACAATTCTCAACATTTTCCTCTTTGAGCCTGTATCAGGAATTCAGAAATATGCCCCATTACAAATGTGCAGTTAAGATGCATATGCAGAAAGTCATCAATGGAGCCACCCCCAAACTAAGAAGATGGGTCTCCCATTGGGAAACATGAAAAACTAATACCTGTCATTGTCTATATAAAATATGAACTAAAACATTACTATAAACTCCATGAGTAAGAGTGACGCTTGCACATGATGTACGCTATATATGAGCAACCAAGATAAAATGTCTGAACATAGCCAGTGTGTTTTTTTCCCCCTGCAAAGGAATACTGGCTAGCACCAACAGTACTTTAAGGTTGAGAATTTGACAGAGCTTTGACACTGTGTATATTACCCTTATTCTCTTTATGCATTTATTTTCAAGCTATGGGGGTTAGACAATGAAGTCTGTAAACTCATCCTAGAAAAAGTGTTAGCCACCTTGTTGATGAATATCACTATGGTCATCACATGACCAAGGAGACTCCTTTGAAGAGGACTATAGTGATATTCAGCAACGAGGCATGTAGCACTTTTTCTAGGAAGAGTTCATGAATTTAATTATTATATCTGATGGCCATTCCATTAAAAGAGTTCCAAAATTGCTTTGAGCTGTATATCATGAATCAGACAAAACCTTGATACCTAGGATCTACAGAGAACTCAAATTAATCAACAAAAAAAGAGACTATAATCTCATACATCACTGGGCAAGAGACATGGATAGAACAGTCTCTAAAGAAGACAGATGAATGGCTAACCAACATATGAAAAAATGCTCATTGTCCTTCATCATCAGAGAAATGTAAATCAAAACCACCCTGAGCTGCCACCTAACCCCAGTGAGAATAGCCCACATCACACAGTCTCAAAGTTACAGATGCTGACATGGATGTGGAGAGAAGGAAACACTTTTATACTGCTGGTGGGACTACAAGCTAATGCCATCTGTTTGAAAGGAAGTATGGGGAATAATCCTCAAAGAACTCAAATTAGACCTCCCATTTGATCCTACAATCCCATTACTGGGCATCTACCCAGAAGAAAAAAAATCCTTTTATCATATGGACATTTGCACAAGACTGTTTATTACAGCTCAATTTACAATTGCCAACTGTGCAAACAACCTAAATGCCCACCAACCCAGAAATGGATTAATAAGCTGTGGTATATGTATACTATGGAACATTATTCAGCCATTAAAAAACATAGAGAATTCACATCTTTTGTATTAACCTGGATGGAGGTGGAACACATTCTTCTTAGTAATGCATCACAAGAATCCAATGTACTCTATTCTAATAAGACGGCACAAGGTAGGGGATAGGAGAATGAGAGAGCAGGGAGAGGGGAGGTGGGAGGGGAAGGGGAGGCCACAATGTATGGCACACCTCGTAGGGGTGGGACACAATTATAAAAGGGACTTTACTTAACAAATGTAATCAATGAATCCCAAACAATTTAAAAAAATGTCATAAACAAAACTGCTTTGGGAACTAGGGAAGGGTCAACTAGGCACTGGTGATGATGCATAGCTTCCCAAAGGGAGTACTTCAAAGGCGACTGTACTGATATTTAGCAACAGCACATGCAGCACCTTTTCTAGGGTGACTTCACAAACCTAATTACCTGACCTCACGTGTATATACTCCTGAATATAATGAAGCAGATTATTCAAATGAAATGTATGACAGAGAAAACCCAACTTCACTATCAAGTGTTACGGAATGTTTGGATCTATTTACAGATAGGCTACTTCCTGTGAAATACTAACAGTAAGGTGAATCACAAAAATAACACCATTTCTCAATTTTGTGTGTGTGTGTGTATTACTTCAAAACCCTTGTAATCGCAACTTACTCAGAGCAAAACAATCAACAAGAATACTTTCCATCTCTTTGTTCTGTGACAGCGTATCCCCCACTACTAATACAGGTTATTATTGACAATATATGATCCAAGGATTAGGATTCCTATATGTATCCTGTATTTATTGATCCTGCTATCAACGGTTCCAGCTTTTTACCTGCCTTAGGTTATTGAACCTCCCACAGGAAAAGAGATGGGATATGCATGGTTGGCCCCTCGGCTAAGTGAACCCCCGCTGACTGAATGCAATTTAGGCACAAGTACTTCAGACTGTGCTATATGCCTGCAGTTGCATGCTGCCAATAGGTACGGGCAGAAAGTGCAGGTGCTCCTTACTCTTGCTATCCACTTGGCAACAGTGTGGGGTTGGGTAAGTTGGGAGGAGGAAGCTGCTGTGTGTCAGTAAATTACTAGGTGGTGCTACCCATAGCTGGCAACAGCTGAGCAAACTTGGCTGTTCAGTGATCATACTCAGTGCAAAGTATTCTCTTTGAAATTGCCCCTACTAGTCAAAGGCCTGGAGGCCAGCAGCCATAAAATCACAATCTGGCTGCTACTATTTTCTGAAAAGGTTCAGAATTTGGAATAGTAGTGAGTTTAAAATAAACCAGGTCTACGTGAAACTCTCTAGACTCAATGCTAATAGACTCTCACCTAAAGGTTAATTAGTATGCCCCTCTTTTAACCGATCTTGGGTAAGCCATTTAATCCAGCTGAAACTCAATTCCCTCTTTTATAAAGTGTGAGAGTGAATTCCTGCCTCTATTCTTCCTATCCAGCCTTAAAATCAGACAATTCAGGCGGCGCCTGTGGCTCAAGGGCAGGGCGCCGGCTTCATATGCCAGAGGTGGTGGGTTTAAGCCCAGCCCTGGCCAAAAACAAAATCAGACAATTCTAATCAAAATAAATGCAAAAACTTGTGACACATTCTAAGCAGCAAGAGAAGTGTTCAAAGGAGTGTGAAAAATGAGCCCGATCTTCTCCTTGTGCTTATGCCGCTTCCAGATCCTCACCTGCTGCTTGAGAACTTCCATTTCTGTTCTCATCTCTTCATGGCAGCACGCTTCAGACTTCCTTAAATAGTCCTCAGGAGATGAAGAACACTCTATTTTCAAGGCATCCTGAAGAGCCTAGGTTAGATGAGCATAGTGTTGATCTAAGACTTCCCATATTATATGAAACCCTTTATAATTGTTAAAATCATTTCAAATGCACCCAAAGGTTGAATTTCATTTATGAGGCCGCCTACATTACTTTTTTCTGATTTTTAATATATATTTACGAATCTGTCTTATCTCCCTGATGATGCCTATGCTCTTCAATCCTTGTTAATATTCAGGGGTTTTGGTGTTGGACTCTCCTCCACCTAGCCAACTAGGAAAAGAAAATACATCTATTGCCTTTTCTAGATTCTCTGGCCTAATTAAAAGTAACTCAATAGATGACACTCAAATGTTAGGGAGCCTCAGAGGTAGCAAACATACCCACACCTAGATAGAGCCCCTCGAAGATTCTGAATTAGTAGATCTGAGAATAGGATCTAAGATTATGCTTCAAAGATGATTTTACTGGTCCCAGATGATGTTTTGAGTAATACTCTGCTATATAACTGCACCATGTCCCCAACAGGAGAAAGGAAAATACACAGAAATGTGAGTCTATGTGGATTCATTATCTACCAGGTCTATTATGCTGCTCTTTTGCCCTGACCTACCAAAGTCCTATTTATTTCTTGTTAAAACATTCTTTAACTCACTACAGGGCAGAGAGAGTTCTCTGCTTTATCCAGCATAAGTTGATCTTTTTACTGTGGGAAGAGGAGACTAAGGAAATGAGTGATACTTATGTTCACCAGCAAGATTATCATCCTTACTAGCTTCTGATGGTCTCTGTTTACTATATTTGGTCATATCACAGGAAAGACACTGCCTCTATTTTGAAGACTTTTGGATCATAATGAACTCAATACAATGACTTCCAAATATTGTGGTGGAACACTTCTCATCCTGGCATGGCCTCAAAGCCCACATTACGACTACTTGCTCATTATCGAAAGAGTCCTCTGTGCAAATAGAAAAGGTTCATTTTCAGAGCCATAAGAAAATTTCACTTCCTTTGTGAGTATTTCTTCAGTGGTATCTGTTTGGTGATATTTGTGGTAACTTGCTCTCCTGCATGATGTGGTCATAGAGATAGGAAAGGAAAAGCAAATTAGTGGTTTTGAGTATGTGTGGACGGACCGGGAATTTCTTAAAAGAATGTCTTAGAGTCTATAAAGACTGTTTAGTGAATGACTGTCATTTTTTAGGAAGCTGTATTAGAAATAAAAACTTTTTTCTTCCTCTTGGAAGAATTTAAAGAAACAATAAAAGGGGCGGTGCCTGTGGCTCAAAAGGGTAGGGCACCGGCCCCATATGCCAGAGGTGGTGGGTACAAACCCAGCCCTGCCCCCCCCCCAAAAAAAAGAAAGAAAAAAAAAAGAAACAATAAAAGTTGTTTAATAATTTATGTTTGTGAGGATTTATGTTAAGCCACTATGAAATATCAGAATAGTTTAAAAAATTAAAAAATGTTTGAATACTAATAGAGAGAATCTAGGGTGGGGTGAGCCAAGTGAATGATGGCAATCAAATATGCTGGGTCCTTATTCCATACCTACAGATAAAGTCCTTTTGTGAGTCTTGTTATTTTTCCTGGTCTACTTTCATGCTAATCAGCATTCCAGAAAATTTGCAAATGTGTCATAAATGAAAGTGAGTCCAATAGATACTTATTCCCTCTTGCAGTTTCCCAGTTTCTTTGAACAAAAACCTGTAACCTATTCTAGAATAGATGTTTTCTATCAGCGCAGTTCTACTAAGCAAACCTACCCGTGTCACACTAGTGAAATGGCAGACAAATCAATTTTGCCCGTGGGCGGCACTGGCTAACTAGCCTCAGATAATTTTTCTCACTTTGGCTAAACATCTGGCTTTTCCTCAAGAGCTTGATGAAAATAAGACCCTTGGGTATTTTACTCAAAGCAAATAAGCTGGTTTGAGTACATATAGTTGGGTGAACTTCTGAAAACCTAAGTTAATTACTAAGCTGACATATTACAAATTATTGCTGAAGGAATGGGTCAGCAGGCAGTCAGCTTATACGAGTAGGATAGGACCCAAATTCCATGCTGTGATGAGCGGTGTGTGCAATCAGCCACTGAAGCCAACATTTTGAGTAATTTTTATAACAGTGGTAAAAAGAAAATAAAAATATTTGTTGTAAAATAGAAGAACAATAGCCTCTTACACTTCATTAGGTTCTAATATATGTGCTAACCGAGAAAAAAAACCTTTTCATATCTATCACTTTATACCTGTGTTTTTAAGTGACAATTTAAGGTGTAGATGTGTGGGATAAATCTCTTCTGGCTTTAAGTGTCCTTTTACTTTCCTTACTATTCAAAATTAATGTATTGCCATTGACACATAAATCTTAGGTTCAAAATTGGCTATTGAACACATTGGATGGTAGTGAATCAAATTTATTTATTCATCTATTCTTTCATTTACCCATTTAAGGGATAGTTCAGAACTTACTGTAAGCAAACCCTATTCTAGGCACGAAGGAAAAAGCAGTGAACAAAACAGAAAAAAAATCTCAGGACCACATTATGACATTGCCTGTGAGAATCCCTTTCTCCATAAAACCACTTATTAAAACCATATTTTATAACTGTCTTGTTACAGAGACAAATGCAGTAGAACCTCTGTAAGGTGATCGCCCAAGGGAGACTATAACCAACTGGTCCACACAAGGAACTAGGCCTACTGTACAGACATGTACATGTGATGAGTGTGTCTGGTCTGTGAAAATTATGTCAACTTAAGGAGGTGGTCAATGTAGGGAAGTGGTCGGCTCTGGAGGCTCTACTACATGTATGAAAACATATTTTCAACAAAAGTTTATTTTTTCTTCTGATTTTAAGTGAAAGTAAACACCTTGATGGGCCCCTGTAAAGTATTATGGGCCCTAGATACTGTGCCTACGGTGCCTAGTGAAGAAGACAGCTCTACAAAACTTCTGCCCTTCTGGAGCTTTTACAATCAAGATTGAGAGACAGAAAACGAATAAGAGATTAAATGTAAGGCATTAAACATAAATAGTAATAAATTCCAAGAAAAAAATTAAAGCAGGAAATACCAGGAGTAGAGGACGTTGTTTTAATTAGGATAGCGAAGAAAGTCATCTTTGGGAGGTGACATTTGTATAGATATCTGAGTTTTACTTTAAAATTTTTCTCATGGAGATTTTATGATTATATTCACCAGAATGATAAAATTATTACTTTTCTAACTTTAAAATTTTTTCTGTGAACTATAACTACAGATACACAAACATGAAGTGTGCGCATGGACATAAGCAGGCAACCAGCATTCTTGGCTATTCTGATATCCACGAGCTTTATATCTTCATGGCCACATTTAGGGAAATGAACTAGAGAATGTAAGAAAACTTGTAATAGGGAGTCAAAAATGGGAGAGATTTTTAATATAATCTCAATTATTCTTAATAGTTCCTCTAATTATTTGTAGAAGATTTTCCAGCAGAGAATAAAAGAAAAAAAGATACATATTTGCCCTGGATTTGTATGTCTAAACACCGTTTTTCTCTCTCAGAGGAGAAAGAATATTGTTCATGAAGTCAATCTCCACGTTCCCATTTTCTTCCAAAGAATAATTTGTCCCACAAATGGACCTAATATAGGATCGCATCTGTTAAACATCCTATCAGCTAGGTAGGCACGTACTTAATGCTTCGAGGATCTTTAAATGACACTTCTAAACTCTGGTTAACTACAGCTGTGGGCACTCAGTCCAAAACTGCAGGGTTTAAGCACATTTTTAAGGCTAAACACTTACTCTTGTTTTAGAAGAAAGAATTTCTATGGCTTTGGTCATAAGTTATCTAGTTGAGAGATGCATATCTTAACCATGTGCTACCACCTTCTCATGTTCTGCATGAGGCTTGGTGCTTAGAAGAGTTAACAGCCAAGGACTCCCCCCCACCCCGCCCCAAATTAGTCAGACACCACTTCCTCCTAATAGTTAAGCAATTCATCCATAGAACAACACACACACACACACACACACACACGTCACCATCATTCTTTTGCTGCAATTCACGGGTAGCACCTTTGAAGAATTGAGTTGGAGCTGAGGTATTAAACCACTTGCACTTTCCTGCCCCCACCAATAAGGGTTAGTTTTAGGCTTGGGACAGCCACCATCTCAGCCTGGGG